CAACTCACGAATTGTATAAAAACGATTGCACAATTTTCTTATGTTTACATGTACCCAAGCCCATCCTCTTTGATGTTTTGTCTTATTTGTGCTATAAGCAATATTACAAATTATTAAAAGCTTTGTATTTAATGTACTAATGCTTAACTGCAGAGCGTCCCAAAATCTGGTTGCCACGCCACCTCAGACAGACTCTGGTGAAGAAAGTGGGTGAAACAATCAATATCGTGATTCCTTTCCAGGTATGTATCACCTTTTATTTTGCCATGGTTATTTATCATTATTCACTTAAAGCAGTTTCCCTTACGCAAGTTCCCGTTGCTTCACTGCTTAAGCAGTATTACATAAAGTATGGCTGATGATATAAACAATGCTCTCAAAGATTAAAGAAAGAAGGAAAAGAAAAATCACTCTTCTTTCAGTCACAATTTTTATTTTTACTGTCAGTTTCTTCTGTAATCCCTCCTTTTGGGGAAGAAGAACAAGTGCATGCTGTAAGCATGTGCAAGCCCATTCTTGCTTATTGACCATAGGACATATCTTAAAGACGGAAGTAAACAAAAGCATAGGAATTCAACCAGCTGCTCTTCTAGAGCCAAATTACATGTTGTTACTGGGTAACTACTTTGCCACAATCATGTATGTTCATTTCTGAAAGGTCAACTATAAGAATTAGAATTTGTATGTAAACAGAATATCACAATTGGTCCTATGTAGGAGCTATGAGTATACGAAGAATAGCTTGGCTATTACTGCACATGAGCTCAAGGCATAAAAAACACAGCATGCTGAGGATAATCAAGCGCCTGCACGTAACTACATATGCCACATGCAAGACTATGATATCAATACAGTGAAAGAATTAGCATGTGAATGGAAAAGGTTTTCCGAGTGAGACATAGGAAAAGAAACTGGAGATTCTGGCTCTGACAGAGATATCCTCTGTAATAATAGATATAGCATTTAATCTAGTCCTCATTTATAATTTAAGGAAACTAAAATTTCTTTGTTGTCCCCAGCTGTCACTTATGAAAAGGTAATCATTGCTATTAGTGAAGAGTTTTTAAATTCTCATGTAAAAGATGCTGAAGATATGGAAAAACTTTTTTTTTTTTAAGAAAGGGAGACGTGTACACATTACTTATATATTTTTGTTTGAGCAGTACCAGCAGAGGAAAATAAAAAATAATCTACACAAGAGCAAAATCTATGTAAAATAAAATATGCATGTCTTTCGCCCTGTGGTTACCAGGTTACATGAAAAGTTGTTTTTTTAAAAAGATATATCTAATCAGTAAACAGTTGCAAGCCAACAGTTACATGAAAAGTTTCTTTTTCACAAAGATATATCTAATCAGTAAGCAGTTGCAAACCAGTATGTGGAATAACTGCTCTGAATTGCATGCTTGCACTACTTTGACATAATCACATGCTTATTTTTTTCTTTCACGTTTCTTCTCTCCAAAAATGCTAAAATGGCCCCTTCACTGAGGTCTAGCTACATGCACTATTCAAGATTTTGCATCTGGTATTTTTGAGTTACATAAGTCTTAAAAAAAAAATTAAACAAATAGGTATTTTTGGTGCTTTGATGTCTGAATTGAAGAAAATTTGTGCAAAATTGACACGCCGTCCCATAAGAAGAGGAACTGACAAAATTTAGCATTTTATAAATTTTTTTTATGATCCACTATATAACCATCTTCCCAGCAAAACCATCCACCTCTTTTGCTTAGAGCAATATTCCCAGAGACTTGCCCGTTCTTCACCCTGCTCCCCTCAGCAGTCCTAGCTGACATGTCCTCAGTTCCCCGGGCCACAGAAAGTACATGCAGCAACTAATCCAGAGCTCCACTTATCCCACCTGATCATTCAGTTGTTGCCAAACGAAACAGATAAAGACCAAGTCTTCCCTGACTTTTCCACGGTGGGGACAGTAACTGAGGTTTCAGTATTTCACCCTGTCATCACTTTTCACAAAACTGTACTAAGCTAATCTTAGACATTTCCAGTGCACTGTCACATTTACTTGAAATGAACCAAGTGATTCAAAAGTTGTTTGAATAGCTGACAGACAAATGGCATTGGTAGGAAGGCACCCAAATCTGGCATTTCAAATGCAACAGACTTTCCCAAGACCTGCTGTCAGTGTAACCTGCTCGGTTGTAAATATGTAACTGAGATCTGCTACTAAATTTGTTTACAGTAGCCAAATACCTTTGAAAATACTTAAGAGAACTAACTACTCCCGAACTGTATAAAAGCGTTCGCACAATTTTCTTATGTTTACAAGTACCCAAGCCCCTCCTCTTTGGTGTTTTGTCTTATTTGTGCTATAAGCAATATTACAAATTATTAAAAGCTTTGTATTTAATGTACTAATGCTTAACTGCAGAGCGTCCCAAAATCTGGTTGCCACGCCACCTCAGACAGACTCTGGTGAAGAAAGTGGGTGAAACAATCAATATCGTGATTCCTTTCCAGGTATGTATCACCTTTTATTTTGCCATGGTTATTTATCATTATTCACTTAAAGCAGTTTCCCTTACGCAAGTTCCCGTTGCTTCACTGCTTAAGCAGTATTACATAAAGTATGGCTGATGATATAAACAATGCTCTCAAAGATTAAAGAAAGAAGGAAAAGAAAAATCACTCTTCTTTCAGTCACAATTTTTATTTTTACTGTCAGTTTCTTCTGTAATCCCTCCTTTTGGGGAAGAAGAACAAGTGCATGCTGTAAGCATGTGCAAGCCCATTCTTGCTTATTGACCATAGGACATATCTTAAAGACGGAAGTAAACAAAAGCATAGGAATTCAACCAGCTGCTCTTCTAGAGCCAAATTACATGTTGTTACTGGGTAACTACTTTGCCACAATCATGTATGTTCATTTCTGAAAGGTCAACTATAAGAATTAGAATTTGTATGTAAACAGAATATCACAATTGGTCCTATGTAGGAGCTATGAGTATACGAAGAATAGCTTGGCTATTACTGCACATGAGCTCAAGGCATAAAAAACACAGCATGCTGAGGATAATCAAGCGCCTGCACGTAACTACATATGCCACATGCAAGACTATGATATCAATACAGTGAAAGAATTAGCATGTGAATGGAAAAGGTTTTCCGAGTGAGACATAGGAAAAGAAACTGGAGATTCTGGCTCTGACAGAGATATCCTCTGTAATAATAGATATAGCATTTAATCTAGTCCTCATTTATAATTTAAGGAAACTAAAATTTCTTTGTTGTCCCCAGCTGTCACTTATGAAAAGGTAATCATTGCTATTAGTGAAGAGTTTTTAAATTCTCATGTAAAAGATGCTGAAGATATGGAAAACTTTTTTTTTTTTAAGAAAGGGAGACGTGTACACATTACTTATATATTTTTGTTTGAGCAGTACCAGCAGAGGAAAATAAAAAATAATCTACACAAGAGCAAAATCTATGTAAAATAAAATATGCATGTCTTTCGCCCTGTGGTTACCAGGTTACATGAAAAGTTGTTTTTTTAAAAAGATATATCTAATCAGTAAACAGTTGCAAGCCAACAGTTACATGAAAAGTTTCTTTTTCACAAAGATATATCTAATCAGTAAGCAGTTGCAAACCAGTATGTGGAATAACTGCTCTGAATTGCATGCTTGCACTACTTTGACATAATCACATGCTTATTTTTTTCTTTCACGTTTCTTCTCTCCAAAAATGCTAAAATGGCCCCTTCACTGAGGTCTAGCTACATGCACTATTCAAGATTTTGCATCTGGTATTTTTGAGTTACATAAGTCTTAAAAAAAAAATTAAACAAATAGGTATTTTTGGTGCTTTGATGTCTGAATTGAAGAAAATTTGTGCAAAATTGACACGCCGTCCCATAAGAAGAGGAACTGACAAAATTTAGCATTTTATAAATTTTTTTTATGATCCACTATATAACCATCTTCCCAGCAAAACCATCCACCTCTTTTGCTTAGTTTTTTATGATCCCCTATATCACCATCTTCCCAGCAAAACCATCCACCTCTTTTGCTTAGAGCAATATTCCCAGAGACTTGCCCGTTCTTCACCCTGCTCCCCTCAGCAGTCCTAGCTGACATGTCCTCAGTTCCCCGGGCCACAGAAAGTACATGCAGCAACTAATCCAGAGCTCCACTTATCCCACCTGATCATTCAGTTGTTGCCAAACGAAACAGATAAAGACCAAGTCTTCCCTGACTTTTCCACGGTGGGGACAGTAACTGAGGTTTCAGTATTTCACCCTGTCATCACTTTTCACAAAACTGTACTAAGCTAATCTTAGACATTTCCAGTGCACTGTCACATTTACTTGAAATGAACCAAGTGATTCAAAAGTTGTTTGAATAGCTGACAGACAAATGGCATTGGTATAAGCTCTTGTCACCTGAAGGCTAACAAAAAATGCTAAAATCTATCCATCAACACCAAATTTTAGCCTGAGAACAAAAGCAGAAGACTTTAATTCAAAAGGTATTTTTTGAGTTAATTAAATTTCTAGAAGTACCGAAATTCAGCTATAGCTACAATTCTTAATACTGCAAAAGCAATTTAGAATTTGCAAAACTGGGAACCTTTCAAAAACAAGAAAGCAAAAAGAACATTTCACTTTACATTTTGAAAAAGTTTAAATGACCAACTATTTCTCTTAAAAAAAAAAAAGTCTCTGAGTAGATATGATTGCCATCTTCAAATTACAGAAAGGATATAGGAGAAAAATACCTAAATGCAGCAATTACCATGAATCCTGAGCTAGGGAACATGAGCAGGCAGAATATTATCTAACTAAATTGTAAGTCAGTGTCTTCTACTATTTACAGTTTCTGTGCAACCCTGCTAGTGACTTCTGTGGTTACTACTTTGCCAATTAACATTGAAACTCTATTGAACACCTTGTCAAGTTATCCCGGGTTAAACACTACTTGCAAATCTATGCAAATCTTTCAATTAAAAAGTACTGAAAAGAACAAATACAACATTATTACTAACCCTTTTCTGTTGAGTGCATTAACCCTGGTGGGACATTCTGCTGAAAGATAGGGAATCGACACATTCTTGTTTCAAAATTCACCAGGTGGGCACATGATTGAAGGGATTTATGTCTTGTTAGTGGATAAGTGTCACAGTATTACTGAGCAGTCTTCTTGCCCATCATGTATGTGGGAGTATAACCATTTAAAAAGCATTTAAATTGGTTCTTCACCTGCACTAAACTCCCTGAAGTTTCTCTGGTGTATTATTTACCCAGTCACTCACTGTTCTCTCTCAAATTACCTATCACACATTGCAGAAATCCAATCCTCCAAGATAAGTATTAGGAACGTACTTTCTATCTGTTTGTGCTTTTCACAGTCTATAAATATGAGTATATGAAAACCAACACTGAATAATTGCAATCTTTCACTGGCACTCATAGCACCTCAAAAAAGGAGGTGCTGTGAGTGAACATATCGGACCAACCGCACTAGAACACCAGCAGTAGCAAAGCTTAATTTCTAGTCAAGACATTGCTTATGATAAAGATAATGCTATGGTTTCTCATGGTCATTTTTGCCATGATATTTAGGGCCAGATCCTCTATTTGCTTTGTTATTCAATCGATCTAGAACGATTAATTCTTGTAATTAGTCTGAAAACCTAGCCAACTATTTGTCTTGACAAATTAGAAAGTTAAATAAAATTTCCACGTATAATTACGTAATTTTAAGTAGATTGGTTTTATTTTGAAAGCATTCCCCTTGCCAAAATTTTCAAGGAGAATCCTCATATGATTTTACAATATACATATATATGTGGAAAGTAAAATAGAGTCAATTGTCAAGTTCACCAATAATCAGACATGGGTATGGAAAAAACCCCCACCACATCTTTTAACTTAATCAATAACTTCTACTCTACCTTCCTCCTAATAGGTTTTTGTAAGGCTTCTATGAAATGAGACCAGAGTGAAGGTACACTAGACCTGGACAAAGTAATCTTGTAAATAATATTTCAGAGATAGAGGCCTGAGGTGACTATAATCCTTAGCAGAAAGGAGTAAGAAAGTAGTTAGCAGATGGGGAAAATGGAAGATTCAAAATCACTGCTCATTCAAGGTTTATTATCTGCCCTGATATAAAAACAATTACAATACAGCTGATGATTCAGATGCCAGAGAAAAGAGCATCTATTAGGGAATGGCAATTTCAGTCCTTTAAGTGTAATTTTGGACAGATCTTGGCCTGAATCTTATATAAGTTTTATAAGAAGTAGATTTTTTTTTTCCCTAATACCACAGAAAACTAAAATGATGCTGCACAGACTTTAAGAGCAAATGTCAGACAAACCTGAAACAACAGTGCAACAAAGCACGAAGATTTATTTTTATTCTGTGTACCTTTAGCACCTAAACCAAGAGTCTGAGTAGCCTAATTTCCCTCTGCAGCCTAAGGAAAAAGACACTGTCTTACAGAGTCTTCTCGACAACCAGTGAATCGAGGATCCTTCTCGAGGTGCTTGGTCTGCTGTTTACTGAGGGCAGAGGGCTGTTAGTGTCCTAATTTCAGTGCCTCAGACTTCAGCTCCAGGGCAACCTAAGCTTGGATGGTCTCACTTTCCCTCCCCACCCGTTAGAGCCACTCCTGGCAGTTGTCTAGCCCTGTGCTGCCCTGTTTCACCATGTTCATCTGGCAGAAACTTAAAAAAAACCAACAAGTTATTTTCTGCTAGAATGACTATAAATATGGTTACTAAATAAGATATGGCCATTTTTATGTTTTCTGGGGACTCCTGGTTTGGAGCTGTACTGTGGACATAGTTCTCAAACAACTTTTGAAGAAGTAAATATTATCTACTAATTTTCCTGGAAACAGCTGAGCGATAGCGATGTAAACCACAGTATCTTACTGATTCTACAAAGTCATCTTCCATGGGTGTAGCAACTCTGACTGCTTGGGCTGGCAGTCACCAAAACAATTTTTGCAATGCAGAAAGAATTACACAGTAAGTGTCACATCCAAGACTTCAAGAGTATAACAGTTTTTGAAAGATGCTAAAAATGCCTAGGGATAGAGAATCAAATGTTTTAATGGGAGAAGAAGGGGAGGATGGGGGGGAAGCTAATGAACTCTTCAGATATTAAAGAATTCTGTTACTTAATCAGAGCAAGCCAGATCAACTGTTGGCTTCACAGATACCTGGGAAAGAGTACCAGACCAGCAGAAGTATGTTTTTTTTCTGGATTTTTTCTCAATATAATTTCAATCTCTTCTCTAACTAAATGGCATCCTCAGGGCATGGTGCCATTAAACCACACAGCTGGGAGAAAATATTTGTCTGTAAGAAGAAAGAAAGTATTTAGAGAGTTTACTATCTCAACTCTGCATATTAAGTCAGGCTTTCTAGATTTATAGATCACTAAAAAAAACTCAGGGCATGGTGCCATTAAACCACACAGCTGGGAGAAAATATTTGTCTGTAAGAAGAAAGAAAGTATTTAGAGAGTTTACTATCTCAACTCTGCATATTAAGTCAGGCTTTCTAGATTTATAGATCACTAAAAAAAACAAAAATGAAAAATGGAAATCTATTATAGACTAAAAAAAAAAAAGAAAAAATAACCTTATTTTCTCTTCAGGGTAAACCAAGACCCAAAATCATTTGGATGAAAGATGGTCAAACTCTAGACTCCAAAGATGTGGGAATTCGGAACAGCAACACGGACACAATCCTTTTCATCAGGAAAGCAGAGCTTCATCACTCAGGAGCGTATGAAATCACTCTTCAGATAGAAAACATGACTGATAAAGTTGCAATAACAATACAAATCATAGGTAAGAACCTGACAACCTCAAAACTAATATTGTACAAAAGAAAATAGTAGCCACACTGAAGTAATCCAAAGATCCAACTACTTCAGAATCCCTTCTCTGACAACGGTCGATAGCAGATGACTAGGACAAACGTCAACACAGGGCTACCATGTCACTATATTTTACTAGAATAGTTTCCCAGCTTGAAAGGATATGTGTCCTAGAAACTTTCTGAAGGAGAGGGATTATCTGTGTGTCCCATAGCTCTTGAGGGATTTTTTTTTTTTCTTGCATCATTTTATCCAGTTTTATAATCCAGATCTAGTTTCAGAATCCAAGGAAACTTTCTGAAGGAGAGGGGTTATCTGTGTGTCCCATATCTCTTGAGGGATTTTTTTTCTTGCATCATTTTATCCAATTTTATAATCCAGATCTAGTTTCAGAATCCAAATACCCTTTTGTAAGAAACTGCAGTTTAAGAGCATGTACCTCTTTAAGTCTCTCTCCTGCTAATCTCATTTGATTTCCAGCTTTGTACCAGAAAAAAAAAAAACACACCAAAAAACACATGAATAATCATTTATTCACCTTTTGCATGCTACTTATATTTTACAGCCTTCGGTCACTCTCCTCAGTTAACTTTCTCACATTTTAGATTTTTTATTTTCAAAAAGATGCCCTTCTGTATCTTTGATCATCTTTATCACCCTTCTTTCTATCGCTTTGAGAGTGATAGAATGAATATGAGATTCTAGTGTTCTTTGCAATAGCCACACTGTTCTCAAGGTAGGAAATACTAACCTGGAATGGATATACTCTTACTGGGTGTCCTGAGCAGATAAGGACAGTGAAGATAAAATCATTGCACTAATACACTGTTCCAAGAATTAGAAATGACAAGTCACAGTATTATGAATTTGGAAAATTCACATTTAATGCCTTACTCTGTTAAGACTGTCTAGTTAGCTTGAGGCTTAGTGAAGGCTTACTCTCTATTATACAATTTCTAGTCTCTTTCCTAGTGTCATTTTAAAGGGATGCACTGCCAAGTATCAGTAACTTCCCTTGGGCTTTTGCAAGAGATATTCTGAGATCTTGCCTACTCAGATTTCCTTAATGCTCAGCCAGAGCTCTTCTATTTCCCCTCATTACAGCTCTACATAACGTTCTTGATAATTGCTTTCCTTTCTCTTTCCACACTCTTTCACACTGTCACCCCAAATTTCCTCCAAGGTATCAATACATTTTTAGAATATGTATTTTGGCACAAAAAGAGTATTTAACCATAGCTCCTCATGCTTTGGAATTAAGACGTAACGCTGACTGTATTCTGCTTAAAGTTTTATAAAATAATGTTGGCAGAATGGGTAAGCAGTGGTGCCAACAGCAAGCAAGAAAGGCGTAACAAATTGGAGCAAATATGTCTTAATACCACCAGCTGCTTCTGCTTAAGAGGATGGCTGCAATTCAGCAACAGTAAAATAAGTAAATTGCAGCTAAAACGAATCCCAAGGGACTGGATAAAGGGGAGTAATGCACCCTCCACACCAAAATACCTTTCTAAAACCGGTTAGTGACTCTAGATTCTAGCACATTGCTCTTACAGCGTAGTACGAAGTATCATCCACCCATTGTTTGATACTGAAGAAAGGCATACAAACACATACATGTATTATAGTCAAAGAGTTATTTCATACAGAAAATGAAAGTCTGGAAAAAAAAAAAAAGGCAACTAGTTTTAGCACACAAATTAATACCTGTCAGAGTTGGAGGACAGATATTAAACTTTTTACTTCTTGAGCAGCTTGCTCAACTGAAAGGGAATACATAAATTTCATTTAATACCTGGCCAAGAAGGGAAAGGGTCTGCAACACACTCAGGTACTTCTGCGACCAAGGCATCTAGTCTGATTGTTGATCCTGTAATTCTTTCATCAGATCTCCCTCTTTTCAATCCTGTCAACAGGATTGTTTGCTCTCTAGATTCTATATTCTCTTGGTAGGAGAGAAATAGAGGTGATTCAGGCACCTATACTATACTAATAATAAGGATTTAGGTGCTGTAGAATGGCACGTGGAAAAACCAATTCTGCTTTCAGAGCCATAATAAATCAATCAGTGATTTTTTGTGGTGTCTGTTCATCAGCTAACTTCCCTTAGCAAACATCTACTTGATGAAGCAACGATGCTTGTAGCTTCAGCCTTTATCTTTTTGGGACTACGGCAACAATGCAGGTAACCAAAACTTTGTTGCTATGATGAATTGCCTGTCAGTTCCAAACAAGAAGACACACTTCTGTTACTACTATCATTTGCCCTTATTGCCAAAACAAGTGTTGCCATTGATCTACCAGGTGTAGCCTCTTACTATGGGAATATAGTATATTTCAATTACTTATAGAAAGATCTTAAATAAAGAAAATATCTCCAATCTCCAAAAAATACAGTACCCTCAACTTTTTTCCCCCCTCTACGTGAATCAATGAACGGCACCTTCCACTGTGCCTTCTACTGACCAAAGCAAACCTCAGCTCTCTATTATTGTGGTTTGTTGTTTTTTGTTGTTTTTTTTTTTTAACTGAAATTATTTATGGTTCTCATTATTTATTATTTGAAAATGTGAGTGCTAATTTCTTTTTTAAAGATCATTCATACTTTGTCTCATCTTCCGATTCTATAAGAGTCAGTGATATGCAAAAATCCTCAGATGAGCTTGTGCTGAGGCCAGCAGAATATTTTCCCAGAATATAAGTCCCCACTGTAACACAGTGCCCTACAGAGGAAAATAATTTGCTACAGATACATCACTAGGATTAACTCTTCCCATCCTCTGTTCAAATTATCAAATAGAGATGTACCAGTTAGTACTGAGAAAAAAAAAAACATTCTACAAAGGAATTTTGAATAGATATTCTTGCAGATTGCACTACCCCATCATGCAGATTGCACTATCCCATCAAACCACAAAGACCAGGAATATAACAATCCATTTAGCAAATGTATTCTTCTCTACCTTTTGTAAGGCTGTCCTTTACAAAGCCTGACAAGTATTGAGGCTTTCAGTACACTCTTCTTCTTTATTCTACCTATGCCACCACAGGTAGACGTAATAATTTATTAAAAAGGGATTATTTAATACATCGTTGAGTTGTTATCACATTAATCTGATAGCAGGTTAAGGCTTAAAATGTTTTTATCTTCTTAATAAAGTCATATTCTGAAATTGTTCGCCCCACAAAATAATATCTATATCTATGTACATAAACACATACCTAAGAATACACACATTCCTGAAGTCTAGCTCTTCCAATAGATTACTGAATTAACAAATGACCTGCCATCCCATTGTTTTTAGTTTTGAAGGAAAGTTCCCAGATAATTGCTTTGGGGTAACTAGGAGCAATAAGGCACAGGCTACAGATGTATCTGTCCAGTGAGGCCTCCCCAAAAATTGTACTTTTTTTTCATTGCACCTAAGACTGTGGTTTTCTTCCATTTATCAATCTCTTCCTGTAGGATTTAAACCAACTACCATCACCAAGACGTCCACAGTTTTTGACAAATCATTGTGTAAGCATCCCTTTAAAAGAAAAAACAACTGTTGTGTAAATATATCTGTAGGTAAGCTCACAGGAAAAGCACTTGTAAAATTAGGCAGATACTGTGGAGGGTTATAAGAGTAGGTAGACCTGAAAATAATTAAGAAATTGCTAACCATCACAAAAACTGTGTACTATTAGATTTTAATACACTTATTCAGGGCTTGTAGAGCTTTGCCCGCTGAGACTGTTGCAGTTTTCATATCCACGCAGGTATTCACAGGTAGTAACGAAAGTTCTTATCCTCAAATCAGATTAATTGATATAGCAACAAATACATTTCCATATCTTCATAGGCAATGCTGTTCATTTGACAACACATTACCATTCCCTACTTCAGAAACACGGAAGAAAGCAAGTTTTACCTGAAACTGGTAGCTGTTTAGAAACACAGATGATGACAGCTTTTTCTTTGAAATGCTAATGCAAGAGAGGAAGGAAGAGGAAAATAAATGGAATGAGGGCAATGCATTCCATATTCCTTATTGAACTTCATGCAGTGTTCTAGCTGGCTCCGGTGCCCATTTCAAGGACAAAAGGGTTAAAGCTAAATATAAAGCAGTCTTTGACCCCAAAGTATACCAGTGAAAAGAGAATCAGCACGTTATGCTTTGACATCGAAACTCACACTTCCCCTAATAACAGACAAAGGCTGGTTTATTACCAGTTTGCGTATCCTTTAAGGAATTAAATTACAAGCAACCTGTAATTACATTCCTTTGTGCTTTGCTCATCTTCAAACCTATATCCATCAGATTCCTACCATTGTCTTCATTTTTTCCAGTTTAGCTACAAAAAAGGGGAGACAATTTCCATTCAGCTACCTAAAATGATCCTGAACTATCCTTCACTAAATCTCAAGACCATCTACCACTGCCTAATGATCATCTCGCCAACGTGCCCTGTAACTGTTAGCAACAATCTAACATCTCAAATAGGAAAATTAGCAGCTTCAAGTCAAAACATACAGAAACATCACTTAATAAATGTAATTTAAACTTTACAGAATTTGTAAACAACATCAGTATAAATACGAATGATCCTTAAAAGAAGGAAAAAAGAAAATTATCATTTTATAGTATGTATCTCCAAGTATCTCAAAATGGACGTAGATTTCTGTACCTCTTTGAAAACGTTTGTTTTTGCTCTACTCATTACAGAGGAATATCACTAGTGGGCAAATTAACAAGCACTGAGGCAAGAGGAAAAACAATCAGGTATAGCCCCAAATTGCTGGCCTTCCTTAGCTGAGAAAAAAATATACCCAGTTGCCTTTGTTGTTCATATTACTCTCAGTATATCTAAACGGCTGAGAAATTGTACTGAGGTAACAAAGAAAGTAATAAAACTGTAGTAAAAGAGTTAATCACAATCATCCAAACACCACAAATTTCTTATTCCATTTTAGGAAAGAGCTCATCTGGTTCTTGTGTTGCTAATTCTACTGTGCTGTCTGTTTCTCAGTAGGTTTCAGGCCTCCCAGAAAAGTATTAAGAGGGCATTTGAAAATTTCCCAACTTTCCAGTTTACAGTTTCAACTTCACAAATAATGAAGTATATTGCTATGGAACAATTATAGATTGCTATCAAGCTCTGTTTTTTCCCTGCATGGGAGGAAATGGCAAAGCTCTTCGATCTTGAACCAGAAGCTATGGGCTTTTTTCATGTCTCCTCTGCAGATAAGCCTGGTCCTCCTCAGAATATAAAGCTTGTAGATGTTTGGGGATTTAATGCAGCCCTGGAGTGGACACCTCCACAAGACGACGGCAATGCACAGATTTTGGGCTACACAGTCCAGAAAGCTGACAAAAAGGCAATGGTAAGAAATTGCACTGAATCAGTGACTTTGTATGGGGTTCAAACTACTACCTGCTCTGGGAACACAGAGACCTGAGGAAAACAGCTAAATTCATGACCCTCAGTTGTGTGCCCAAGATGTCCTATGGCATATCAGAGGCAATTAAGCACTGAAGAATAGAATCTAAAAAGAACCAAAAGGCTAAGTGTAGTGCTATATAAAATGCCCAGTAGAAAATGTAAAGAGAGACCTAGACTGTCTCACCTCTGGTGTTGACCGGACAGACAGCTCTACTCGCAAGGTGGGATTATGTGTTTTATTTGAAATTATAGTTTTCACAAACGCAGGAAAAAACTGAAGGGGAGGGAGGAAGAATTAGACTTGAACTCCAATGCTGGGCATAAGTGTTATGTGTGTCTGTCAAACTGGAAAACATCTTTCTTATGGAAGTCCCCATCAAGTAATCATGTTCTGAGGACACATCCTGTATCGGGTTCGCCAGATACGAGTAGGGCTAAAGTGTAAAGGGACTTTTTGTGTTTGTTTTTTTTTTCCTCAAAACGCAAGTATTCATTCAACTGTCATGCCAGCCAGAAAATAAAAGTAAAAAAAAATAAAATAGATCAGCTGCTCTTCCCGGAAAGCAACGTAATATTCATTTCACAGGCTAGTGTTAAATACCTGTCTACCTGTCTTCTCCTTGTAGCAACTTTTTTTTTTCCCCTCAAAATGCAAGTATTCATTCAACTGCCATGTCAGCCAGAAAATAATGAAACAAAATAGATCAGTTGGTCTTCCCAGAAAGCAACATAATATTCATTTTGCAGGCTAGTATTAAGTACCTGTCTACCTGTCTTCTCCTTGTAGCAGGAAGGATCTCTCTATACCAAAACTAGCACCATGTCTGACCTCTCTTGCATCTTTCTAAACAGCATAGTCTTGTTACAGGAATGGTATACTGTTTTTGATCACTATCGTCGCACAAACTGTGTAGTGTCAGACCTGATTATGGGAAATGAGTATTTTTTTCGAGTCTTCAGTGAAAATTTGTGTGGATTGAGTGAAACTGCTGCAACAACCAAAAATCCTGCCTATATCCAAAAAACAGGTAACATGTTTTTCAAAACAAATATCACGAAAGGCACTAAATACCAGAAGTAATACATTGGTAAATGGAAAAATACAGCATTACTTAGATGCACCACCACAGATAGTCCATTATTTACTAACTAGCTGTTATAAAGTATTTTAGGATCAGGAGCCCTTGGATAAATGGAAAAATACAGTATTACTTAGATGCACCACCACAGATATTCCGTTACTAACTAGCAGTTATAAAGTATTTTAGGATCAGGAGCCCTTACTTAGGCAGATCTCCTGAACTAACACAAAGATCTGTTCAAAAATACTTAATCACACGGTCTTCTTAAACTATATTATTTTAAGAAAATAATACAACTGGGGGGGGGGTTACATTTACATTCCGGGGTTAAAAGTTTAAGATGTCTGTGGTGAAGACTTCCCCTGCAGACATATGGCTTTTGTATTTTTAACAGAAACCAAAAACCCATGATTGCCAGGACCTTTAACTAAAGCATTAAACATCAGATGTATTTTAGAGTGAATTTAAAGATTTGTTATATCATAAATGCCATAACTTTGAAGCTTCTCTAAATCACACAGGAAAGTTAAATGACAAATAGATTGTACAAAAGTCAACAGGACTGAAACCACAGCTCTTACTATTTTGTTTCTTTGAATTGCAGGCACCACTTACAAGCCACCTAGTTACAAAGAACATGACTTCTCCGAACCTCCTAAATTCACTCACCCTTTAGTAAACCGCTCTGTGATTGCAGGATACAACACCACGCTCAGCTGTGCCGTAAGAGGAATCCCCAAGGTACAGATTAACTCAACTGTCATTGATACTCTTGCAAAACGCCAAGATGCTGCCTTAGAATTCATGTCAGTTCAGTGTGATTGCAATATAACGTGATTTAATATATTATTACGTAAAGGTCACCCAATTATCTCCCCCCTCACTCATAACTGAGGCACATGATGCAAGCATTGGAGTAAGTAAAGCAGAGGACAGGACAGCCATTGCTTATGCTAGCACCATGCCATTGAAAACGCACCACTTGTACATAAAAATCTACTCACTCAAGAAAGTAATCAACAGTATCTTCTCACAATGTATATTTTGTTCTCTCCAGTCTTTCAAGAAAACAGCAGCTAATGTAATGTACTATTCCATTAACCTAAATGATACATAGCAACACCAGTTTTTCCTGTTATGTCAATACATCCACATAATTCTGTGTGTGAAGTTTGGGGGCTTTTTTTAAATCTCACCGGAATATTTTCTCAGTCTAAGTAGAGTACAAAAATATGTACGTTTTTGTCAGGGTCAGGAACAAGCAGTAAGAACTGTATCAGCTAGGAGCTAAATTTAGGTTTCTCAAAAAAAGGGAAATAGGCTTTTTGTCTGCAGTGAAGGAATTTACCATATTATGACATAACCTTGTAATAAATTTAAATTAGAACATTCACAAAAAAATGCAGTACCCTTTTCCCTTCCCCTTCTGGCTGCTTATTTTCAGCTCCTCTCCCTTCCCCACGCCTGTACAAGGATCTGACAGCTACATAATTGTAAGATAATTGCTCAAAGTTAATTTTAACTCAAAAAAATAAAAAAAGCAGCATCTTAATGTAATAATTTGCTGCAGTTCATGGGATGAAAAAGGAGCTCCAAACAAAACTCAAATATGAAAAGGAAGCATACCCACATAAGTAGCTGCAAGATAACAAGAGCATCATAAAAGAAATTCCAGCAACTGTAGGCAAAAATCCATCCTCCAGTAGCTACCGCACCTTAGATTCATCCTGAAACGACAGTGTTAGTAATGATTTTCCCTCTTGGTTAACTGACCTTTTTGTGCATCTGGATCCACTTCACTCAGTTTCCATGGTTTTAAGAAGATTCTAAGAAACACTTTGTATTTTACACTTGTTAAATACAGTTGCCCCAGATTTTTGAATGTGAGCATGCTAGCTGTTTCTTCCATGTGAGCCTACAGGATGACAAACAGTCCTCATCACTCAGTACCCTCATAATCTTATAGCAGCTTTTCCAGATACGTTTTTGCACTTGCATTGTCAAAATTAACCTTAACAAAAAATTTCTGTACCCACACCAGAAATCTGCAAACAGGTCTTTTTCCACAGAGAGTGGCTTATGTTAATAGAGCTTTCCAATTCTGAGTAACTAGAGACTATGGAGTATACCTCAGATATGATCTGTACAGCAAGAAAGTTACCACCTCAAGCAGAGTCAACATTCATGCCCCAGTGGCAGCGTTGAAATAAAAGACGTATACTCAGAAAGATAAAGAAGCTATAGAAAAAGAAGCCAAAAAATTCTGAGGCAGGAAGAAAAATGCAGCTGACATTTTCTTTAAAGAAAATGAAGCCTGGGAACTCAGATGCACTGAATTGTGTATCACAGGTCAAAGACACAGCGATCCAACAGATGTGAACACAGTCTATAAAACGACACAATGGTCTGTTAAGTTTTTTTTTTTAATGGATGAAGAAACAAAAGATATTAATTCTGGAAGTAAAACAGATGAATACAGAGCTTGGTCTTCTACTCTTTAAAGCCTATTTCTTCACTATATGTACCAACAAGCTTGTAATAAACAAACAGTTTGCTTTATATCAGATCTTTCATTTTCAAAATTTCATTTATGAAAATTCAAGGCACATTTTCAGGTGCCAGAAAAAAACCCGCAATGACTTGAACTGATACAGAGCCAACCATTTTATTGCTCAGCTGAAGCCAACAGGAACTTGTTGAAATTCCTGAAGTTGCTAAAGATATAGTAAATGGTTTAGGAAATCCTTTCCCAGCCTAAACCTTGGCATCCCAAGTTGACCACCCAACATCCACAAACCTTTATGACACTTCTGTTCTAGTAATCTGTCAAGTTTATTTCCCCTCCTGTATCATACCTCAAGCGTTCAAATATATTTTAATGAGCACAATTAAATAACTCCCAAAGGAATGAATTTGTAGGGTGTTTTTTTTTAAATTACAATAGAATAGAGAACAGACCTATATTCTCCACATGCTGCTTGAGAGTTAAAGAAAATACTGAGCACTTGAATTATTACTTTCATGAGTTTGTACTGAATGAGAGGTTCCTTGAAAAATTATTAACGCTGCTGTGTAATTTACAGGCCTCATAATGCATAACCCCTTGATGGCTAAATTAAAGCTGCAAGGTCAGTGGTTAAGTCTTCCATTTTCTACCTTTTTATTTTAAAATTCTTCTTTTGTGTTCTTCAGCCAAAGATATTCTGGTACAAAAACAAAATGGATCTCTCTGGGGACGCCAAATACCGCATGTTCAGTAAACAGGGTGTGTTGACCCTGGAGATCCGGAAACCCACTCCATTTGACGGTGGCTGTTACACCTGCAAAGCTGTTAATGAGTGTGGTGAAGCTGAAATAGAATGCAGACTGGATGTCAGAGGTAATGAGATGGATCTTATGGATAACACTAATACTGCAATGAAGATTAAGAGATGAGTAACGGACAGATAAAAAAAACCCAACTGTCTATGTTTTTGTATATGGTATATATGTTGTAAATTGTATATGGTGGTATACCAATAGGTTGTTAATTACACTCACCAGAAAGGTTGTGGTTTTCATTTGAGACTGTTATGACAGAATCAGGTTGCTTACAATGTAAAATAGGTCTGACGGTGGACCATTATTATTTCTAGAAAAGATACTAAACACTGGAATGGAGGTCTACCTAAAAACACCGCATTCTGGATAATTTTATCATCCTTTGTGCCATACTCTCTAATTGAAAGTTTTAAATTAAGTCATTAGCTCTTAGACATACAGGAATGGTACTGCATGCTACATCACAAACATTTTTCAAACACTGATAATATATTTTGGTTGTCAAAAAGGCCAGGGGGAAAAAAAAAAAAAAAAATCACACATTTAAAGCACAGTAAGAAATATTTACTAAATATTTTTGGTAAATCTTCTGCTAGTGTACCTGTTTGTCAATACAAACCCATATAGCAACACTTTAAACACTTGTCAAAACCAGAAAAAGTTGTGCAAGCTGTATAACAGGCATTGATGGACATCCATCTTCAGCACAGCAAGCCTGAAGGTATTTCTACACCGCACAGAGTTCAGTATTTTACTCAGTGCTACATCAGGAATGTGTACACAGTACACCTTGTGGTGTTAGGAACCAATACCCTCATTGGATTACTATGATGATGAACTCAGACTAACAACTGTGAAATGTCTAGCTTGTCTATGCAGCAGCTAATTAAGACACATGACTTTTGGTTCAATGGCTAGCTCAAGCACTTCTGTTCAGTGCTATACTGTACCGTGGAGACATGCTTCAAAGCTTATTATTAATCATCTTCTGAAACTCGCTTTAGCAACATTAAAGATCCTTGGAATCATCAGGCAAAAGCAACTACTATCAAGCTTCCATATTTCACCTTCAGCACCCAATTTAAAATTAGCATCCTTCAATGTCTAATAATATTTTACTTTTTTTGTTTCCATTCTCCAGCACCTCAGTAAAGTTCTGAATTTCAACTCAACTGCAAGTCAAGGTATGAATCAAAATAATTCAGCTGGATATATCAGCACTAGCTGTTTGGTTAGATATAAGATTAAACAGTCATTAGATATTCATGTTATAGACTTTATGGAATTTCTATAACATTGGCGGGGTGTGGGTGTGCTTGGTTTTATTTCTGTTTTTTTGTTTTTTGTTTTTTGTTTTTTGTTTTTTTTTTTCAAAAATCATTGCCTGAACACAGTCCTGCAAAGTAACTTATGTGGTTTATTTTAAAGTCAGGATTTTGTGGGTCTCAGCCTTCAACAGGCCTTGTCAGTATAAAAAATCTGTAAGAATAACATAGTACTTCGTTGACTTTTTTTTCTTAACTCACCACAAGCACTTCCAAGACTGGCTTATTAATATAGACCTAATTAGCATCAACCCACATTACTTTAACCAAGCCAGCAGAGTTAAAAATACAATGCATCTAGAAGTATTATGTACATTTTAGACTTTTTTAAAGTGAAATAGATATAATAAACAATCAAGTAATATATTTGACAATAAATTCTTCTCCCTGTTCTCTGTTTCAGGACTGGAATGGAACTTGAAAAGAAGAAAATTGAAGAAATTAATGAAGAAAAAATTTAGTTACATTTAGGAGTCCTGCTCATCTTAAACGTCACTTAATATACGTGTACTAGGAGGCAGCAGTGTCTTGTAGTGTCCTGCTTACTCTGCATATTTTCAGACAGTATTTCCTCTTTTCATACATCTGTTTTAGTTACATTACTCCCATCACCATGTGAAGAAATTTAGGGAAATCAAGATAAAACATTACATAAATGTGTCTGAAAAAAAACGAGTTCTACAGTTATGCGCAAACCCAGTCTGTTCCTGATGTCTGAACAAACATAAATTCCCCACTGCTACAGTTCTCCCCATTTTCTCTTCTCAGAATTTCTTCATAAGAAACAAGTACTTCAGAATAATGAAACACCAAAATTATTTGTAATTTTAAAATCGCCTTTCATTATACTCATCTCTGCACAATAGAAAGTAACTTTCATTCCTACTACTTTTACTATCAGTGCTTGAAATACCCACCTTTGTGTTCTTGAGATCTTTGCAGAAACACATTCAAAACACATCTCTTTGGAATCTCTGGCTAAAGCTACTGTTCTGCTTTATACAGAAAATAGTTTCTTTGATATTTACTCACTACAGGCTTTTCTAGCTTTTAAACTGACACAACCATAGACTTCCAGTTATTAGATGTTTATGCAACCAATCATAGACATCACACTAATCTACAGATACAATCTTGTACAGCAGATGAAAGAGTGAAAGATGTAGGCAGGAAGATTATTTGCACATAAATAAAAATGTTCAAAACAAAAAGCTTGTGATGAATGCAGTAACTTACTTTCATTAAATGTTACTGAAGGCTTTTGATAGTCTATGAATGGTATGTATATATTTTGCAGATAATTTTGTCTAATTGACTGACACAACAGCATTTCTGGCTTTTCACCTACTAGTTTGAATAGTATTGGGAGGTGGGTTTGGACCTGCAGTAGCTGTTAGTAGTTTCTGGCTGGAAAGTACTTTCGTAGTAGTTTCGTGATCACAGTACAAGAGAAGGTGGGACGATGAAATTAATTCAGGAAGCATTGCCTTTTGGAAGGATCAACACAAAGGAACTAAGTAATACTACTCCCCTGCCTCCAACATGCCAGTTGAGAAGGCAAAGCATGTCTGACCCAGCACATTAGCTGTACTAAACAAGCAAATATGTCTTCATAATAAAAACACTGATGATAGTGAGATGTGTATTTTGATTATTTTGTTATGGTATCAGAACAAAGACAGGTACTCCTCTAAAACCAAAGTCAATTTATCCAAAGTTAACACTTGTCTGTTGCACATTATTATTCAATAAATAAATAAAAAGCCATGAAAAATATACAAACAAGTTTACACGGTTTTGAACTTTTATTCTCCAAGCAACACTATTGTTTAAAAAATAAGGCACATACCACAAATACAAGTCAGAGATGTTCTACGTTATAAAGAACCTACGACCAGAATGCAGTGGACTGAGATCATCATTAAAAAAGGCAGCTTACCCTATGGAAAATTAATTGCTATACCAAATACATTCTATTAGCAGAAAGGTGTTTCATGAAAGAGAGTAGACTTTCATTGGTCTGTTCCATGGCTGATACTGATCCTGAATGCATAGCTCACCAATTGCCCATTAATTCCATGTTGGTAAGAAATAAATAAATTATTTCCATCCCGATCTGTTTAGAACTATGCAAAGGGTGCAGTTTCTCCCAAATCGAGCCAAGTATCTCACAATTTTTCCCCATCACAACTGAAAGACTACTTGACAAAAAAAAATAAAATATATGGTTTAACTTCTTTTTTTCCCTGGGTGGAATCTCCTCTGATGCAAAAAATCAAACAAACTTATCTCTAAATGTCATGGCAAATATTCTTACCTTATAGATGTTAAGCACTATTAGAAAGAAGTATGCAAGGTAAAATCAACAGTAAAAGCATTATTAACATAGGTCATAAAGCTGAATAATTCTTATCTATTACCATTTTCTTTCAAGGATACTTTTAGCATATTAAGTGCCTTTCAAAGCTGACAGCAACGACTATCAGGAATAGTCCTACTGACTGAAGTCCTTTCAGTAGTTTTCCTGATACAAAAAACTGTTATTGCTCAGCTAAAAGATTTTTCCATGTGAATAGTATACGTAACTTTGACAAACACAACCTCTTCAGATCTATTCTTTCTATCCAGTTGAATATGAAATTGACTTCAACTTCTGATATCACCACAATTTTAACTTATAACCAATCAATTCAGCTTGCTTACTGCCAGTTCAGTGCACGTGCCTTTCCTTCAAAGAAATTACTAATAACCAGGAATGGAGATACTCAGATGCTTCAAATTAACACACTTAAGACTTAGCTGAAGCACAGGGATGTTGCAGAGCAATAGTAAAGGCACAGTATCATGCAGTGCAGAAATAGCACTTCACTTGTGTCATTTAGAAGAAACATCAACTATCCCAAAAATATTAAGAAATAACATAGGGGTACTCCCACTAGCTCAGTTCCCTCAGTGTGGCATTGCCTCCTAGCCAGTTAAACCCCCAGCTAACACTTCAGCTCAGCATCAATTCTTTTGTGTTTCATCCTGTATTTCAGCACTGCTGTATAAATATTGTAAATAAGCAATCCCGGCAATGGAAAGCTTCACTTAATACTCTTTATGAAAACCACAAGGTAGAATTAAACTGTCAAATGCAAGCAAGCCTTACCACAACTCCTCATTTCCTTTAGTTACTTGAGACTCTTGTAGCGCGCAAATCCCAGCTATTGTTCTATGAACAAAAAAATAATAGCAAAAGGAGTTTGTGGTTGATCAAAACTTCATAAAATAGCAATTAAAAAAAAACCCAGCAAAATCAGCATATGAAACCCAGAAAAAAAAACATTCAAAAGCCAAAGCATAAAACACATTAAGAAAACCATCCTTTTCTTCAAGTGCAATTCTAAAATTGAGTAAACGTCTCAAAGATTAGCTAGCCAACGTTAACTATTTTCTTACTATTCTGATTGCAAAGCCTTACCCAAATTGTACTTCAAAGACACAAAATTGAGCTTCTCATCACAATGTTCTGAGACTGAATTTCAAAGGAGTAAAAAAAGGCGTGGGGGGTGCCTTAAATGCCAACACCTGAGTTTTGGGTGGGGCTGTAGCAGGTGTTGAGAATTTAAAATCCACACACACCTCCACAAGTGAGTGCTGATTAGGTACTCATCCCTCATTACTACTATCTGGTTGGTACAGCACCCCCACCCCAGGTGGTAGCCTTCCCCTTGCCTGGAGGTGACAAGTTTTGCAGAGACGCCAACAGGGAGGTGTAACGGGGGAGCCCCAGGGCCGTACCCTGAGGTGAAGGAGCAACCATCGCGCTACAAAATGGCGGCGCTCCCTCACGCCGCTTCCCGCCCGAGGGGGCAGGCAGGTGCCGCGCGCCGGCCTCGCGGCCGTTGGGGCGCCCCTAACGGCCGGCTCGCGCCGAGGCGGGAGCTCCCCTCAGTGGCGGGAGCTCCTCCGGCTGCTCGCCCGGCCTTGGTCTGAGGGGTTATGGCCGAGGTCTGTGGAGCCTGAACAAAATCCCTTCGGCCTGTGGGGTGAGCACAGAGGATTCTGACAAAGTGTGCTGAGTTTCGGCCCTTTCCTCTTCCAGTTTTCACTCGGTGGGCTTGCACAGAAGCTGTTGAAGGCTGTGTGTGAATTTACCGATGGTCCCCCTCAGAGATAATTAATTCTTCCTGTTAACAAATGAGAAGTGGATCAGTTGGAGCTAAAGAAGAGAGTAAGACATATGTCCACGCTGAAATGACAGCATTTGGTGGAGCTTCTCAGCTCTCACCACTATTTTGTATTCTGCTAGCATAAATACATGACTTAGTTTAAAACTAGCAGGCATATCCATGGTAACGGCTGCAGAATAAACATACTCATTGTTTTCTTTACTGAACACTAGATTTCTGACTAGTTAATAAAAATGCATGTAGTAGTTTGTCCCCAAGCCACTGTAAATCCAGGTACGTGCTATCCAGGTACTAGTTCTATTCATGAGAAAGTGTGCCAGTTAGTAAATAGATTTTTTTTTATAATACCCTCAGTGCAGGTGGATCCTCGCGTGACCAAGGGAGGTTAATAAGAAGCTATGTTTCCATCAACATGAGTATGTTGTCGCAGGTTAGTTACTGACCCACTTTATGTAGATACTCAAGTTAGGATTAACCACGCTAATCAGTACTGGTTGTAACTGAAGGTGCACCAGTGTAGTTATGCTGATACAAAGATCCTAAAATGGAAAAGTCCTAAATTTTCACGCATTCACATTCACTAATAAATCATTGCTTGGAATGTTAGGCAGAAATCAAAGTAACACAAAGAAAACTACTTGCGTGTAGCATGTTTAGAAAAATACTGCTTTCCTTAGTAGCCTGTAAACTCTGAACATTGTCTTTGATGGACTGTTTTGGTAGGGATGAGCACTTCAGTCAATGCATGACCTGATTTTAACACAAGCTGAAGATCTGTGCCCCTGCTTTGCTGCTTAAGTTACAATACTTACGTGATAAAGTGGAGTGAAATGCAAATTGAGTGGATTGAGCTCAAGTTGTCTCAACAGAATGTTTAAAATGGCACAGAATGCCTTACCTGTCATGAATTTATCTTCCTCTTCCCTCTAGAAGAGAGAACAGTTGTCTTTATTGATTTTTTCATATTTGTCTAAGCTTTTTGCATAAAATTATATATAAAAATTGAATTCTACTTGTTGAAAATGGCAGTGAGAGGTCAAGAGGTTCCCACTTACTACTGTAACAAAGCTTTTCAGTGCAAGGCAAGGCAGATACTTTAAGACAGCTTCAGCACACCTCACTCCTAAGAAAGGAATACTGTGCTAGGTATTCCAAGGGAGATATACAATTGAGTAGAAATGAGTAAAACCACAAGAAAATACTAGTTCATCGCATTTTTTCCTTAATTCAGTCATACAATGGCCATTCAAATGAGAGCAGCAAAGGAAAAGACGTTTCTGGAAATCAGAAAAGTAATTTATGTTGCTTTTTATCACAGAATTTCTTTGAAATAAAATCCTTTTATGTGTTTAGGAGAAAGGTTTGTCACTAACATATCGTCTTGGAGCAGGTTTAGAAATACAAGCCATTCCTGTCTCTTTACGAATTAATTTTGTAAGAACAGTCTGCTGAGATTAAAAATAGCCCCACTGATACCTTTCAAGTGCTTCCCAAGCACAGAACTCTATTTTAGGGAAAGAAAAGCTGTCAGTGAGATACCCTTTACTTGTCTTTGGGCAAGGTCCCTACAGCAGTCTGCATAAGGAACACATCATAAAACAACATGAGCTGGTGAAAGTTTAAAAGAAACAGATAAGAACAGCTTCATTTATTAGGTCCTGATATGGAAAAAATAATCTAGCATCTTGCTTTCTGTGCCAGACAGAAATGTTGACAACAGGCAGCCTTAAAAACACAGATAACTTTCACAGCTATGAACACATTTTAATCATAATTCTGTATTAGGATAGCTTTACAGAAGACAAATAATCCAAAACAGTGACTAATCCACTATATATAAAATATCGGTGGATATGCAAATGTGTGGAAATTGATTAAAGGTGGGGGGAAAAAAGTGGTAAGTGTGCCCTCTCCTTCTTCGTCATGGATAATCATCTGACTGTCACTTTATATTCATTATTATTTATTTAACAAACATAAAGAATATCATATATAGTTTTCATTGTTTTGCTTGGAAGTGTAAAGTGTGGGTCACAAATGTAGGAACCCGGGTTATGAATTAAATTAATTTAACCTTCAGTAAGGTTGCATTTGCTTGGTATCTGTCATAATGCTGATCGTTGCCCCAGTACTCCATCTACTCCAGGAAAGTATAATCACAAAAATTCTAGTGACTAATATGTCTCTTAAAGACAACTTTTGTTTATTGCTTTTCATATACAAAACCCAGGAAAAAAAAAATGCCTGAAATTCCAGGCTTTTCTTCTGCTCTGTAGGTCAGTTCATGTATATAACTTGAAAAAAACCCAAGTACAGTCAATTTTGATCATTGGAAAGTCCTCAAAAATTTCTACCTGGAAACAGGACTTGTTCTTCTGCACTGCTATAAGGGGGGGCTAACAGTACTACATATTGACAAAGCATGCTAATTCCTCTTAGGTGTTTCCTACAGCACTGAAAAACTTTTAACAATTTAGACAATTTGTTAGGTTACAAGTCTGGTTTAGACAAATTTATTTTTAATATCAGATTAAATGGTTGAACCATTTCTAACACGGAGTGTAGGGAAGAATTGCTGCTGGAAGCTATCACAGAACAGCA